CCCCCTCTGCCACCTGCCTGGCCTCGATGCCCAGGAGGACCAGGCTGACCCGGGACGGGTCCCCCAGACCCGCCTGCCCCTCACCCACCCCAAACCCACCGGTACGTGGTGCCACAGCCGGGGCTGAACCCACCCTGCCCTGTTCCCGCTGGGAGGGGAGGGGGCTGCGCTGAGCAGCTCCCACCATCCTCCCCCTCCTGCCTGGCAGATGAGATCCTCAGGCTGCTGGAGTCCAGGAAGGGGGACAAAGAAGCAGAAGCCTTTGTCAAGCTCCGCAAGCAACGAGCCAAGCAGTCCAGGGAGAGGGATTGATGGAGGCAGAGGAAGAAGGTCCTGGAAGGAGGGGGGGGGGTCTGCCCAGTGGGACCCCGGGAGTTGTGCTGGAGCTGGAGTCACCTGCAGGGGCTGGGGGGGGACAGACGGGGTCCCTGTGCCTCCCACCAGCTCCCAGCACCCATCTTGCCCCCACCTTCGGTAACAGTGCTCCTGTGAGGCCGAGGAGGGTGGTCCTCAGGGGCTTTCTTTGCCTGTCCAGACTGGAAACACTACACACGTGAGCCTGGAGCTTGTTTGAGCTGCAGTTACTAATTACAATCTGCAGCTCCCTCTGCCCCCACCCTGCGGGGGGTGGGGAGTGGGAAGGCTGTGCCTGAGCTGCAGCAGATCCCTGGGAGCTGCTGTGTCCCAGGGCATTAAAAGCAGCACCCTCTGAGCACCAGCTGCTTTCTCAGAGGGCAGAGCAACCACTGGGTCAGTTCAGGTCAAGCCTTTGATGCAGGGGTGGGGGAAAATGAAAAAAAAAGAACCCACAGCAGGAGGGATTAAGGCTGCTGGCTCACCAGGAAGCCATTTGCTGGCTTAAAATCACTCATTTCTGTTCCCCCTTGTAGCTCTGCAGAGAAATAAGATGCAGGAGAAGGGTCCCTGCTTGCAGACACCCACCCAGGGGTCCTTGCTGCCAGGTTTGCTGCTACTGCTCCCAGAGAGAGGAGACCCCAGCCCCCTGCAGCCCATCTGGTGTTGGTACCTGCTACCATCCCACCTCCCACTGCAGTGCAAGGCTCAGCATCTGTGGCTGCACATTGGAATCTGGTTTTAGGTCCTTTTTTTTAGCTGTATGTTTAAAAATTGTCCTGCTCTACCTCGCCCTGGGCTGCCCATCACCCAGACTGTCCTGATGTATCCCAGGGAACAGGTAGCACCAGGCTACCCTCAGCTTGGAGGTTGTTTGCATTTTATTAGCTAAGGTGTTCTAGCTTTTTATTATTTTTCTCAGTTCTGGGCAGTTCTGTGGGTCTTTTCCCACCCCAAAAAAGAAATCACACCCTTTCCAGAGAAGGACTAACAAACCTTAAACAACCAGAGCATAACTAACCCCATGGACGAGAACAGCCCAGGCAGTAAAAAAACTGGTATGAAGTACACAAATCCAGCTCCTAGCAACTGCAAGAGTGAGGAGGAAGGCATCCCCATCATCATCATCACCCTGGTGAAGAACCCTGACACAGGCAGATCACAAGAGGGAAGGCACCTCCACCTACCAATCTTATTACTCAGGATCTGAACTGGGTGATTTGGATTCTTGTTGTGATTGGACTAAGGGGAAGTGGTTGATGCATCTGTGAGGCATTAATTAGACCAAAAAATAAAAATAAAAGGGAATTCTTGGCTCCATCTGTAAGGCCTGTTCTTTTGGGTGCCAGGGTCCTATGTATGGAACAATTCCCATGTTTCTATCCCCCACAGCTGCACAGACACTTGGGGGCAGGCAGAGCTCCCCTCCACCCAGCCTGGCTCTTGCAGGAGCTTAAATTCTTGTCCAGGCCAAGAATCTGGGTGACAAAACACCCTTTGCTCTGTGGTTTTGCCATTTCCAGAGTCTCTGCACCACCTAACAGCACCAACTCCCTCCCCTTTCCATTGCACCCCAAGCATAAACATGAAGAGAAACCCCCCACCACAAAAAAAGGGGGGATTGATACAGAAGGGAGTTCAGGAAGAAATTATTCTTGGTATTATGAAAGGGGGGAAGGAAAATGCCACGGGGATGGATTTGAGTTGTTGTTTCAAGGACTCCACAGCACAGACTTGCCCCCACCACCCCCCAAGCCCCAGAGCACACACACACACACACACACACACACACACACACACACACACACACACACACACACACACACACACACACACACACACACACACACACACACACACACACACACACACACACACACACACACACACACACACACACACACACACACACACACACACACACACAGCTTTAATATATATTTATATATTTCTTAGCAAAAAAATAAAAATTTATTGTCCTCTAAAAAAAAAAAAGAAAAAAATCCATCCTGCCCTTGGAAACTGTGACACAGATTTGAGTTCTTTCCAGCCCCACATGCAAATTCACTCTGCCAAGAAAAGAGTCTAAACCAGGTTTCTGACAGCCAAAACACATATTTACAGAGCACGAGAGAACGACAGCTGAAATCACAGTTCTATACATGGAATCAACAACACGTTTTACACACCATCATCACCATTCTGCCAACTTCTACACGGACTAGGGGGCTCTTCTGCCCAGTGCCCTTCCTCCTGGGGGAAAGCAGGGAAGGGACTGGCCAAGAATTGCCACCAGAAATACTGCAGTGTGTTATTATTATTATTTTTTTAAGTATATTGTCTTTCTTTTAACAGTGGAAGCCACGGAGTGGGGGGAAGCCCCAGAAATCTCTCCGATGCAGTCACTAGTTTGCAGGAATATTTCACCTTGAAAAGACTAGATTTTACATCAGTAACATTGATTTTGCTGTTGGCTATCACTCCAAGGATTCTTATCATAGGAGGAAAAAAAACCACTGGTAATATTCTTCCTTCTTAGGGTGGGGGAAGGAGAAAAAGAGGTTTGGAGGCTGGTGGCACAGCAATCAATCTGTTCAGCATTTAGGGGCTTCCTCACAGGGGAAGGACTTCTCTTGGTTGTCTCAGCTGAACAAGTCTTGCCAAGTGGCTCAGGTTCAGCTTCAGAGAAGTGTCAAACCCTTGGGCAGGGTCCAGCTGCAATGAGCCCCCCTGGGGGGGGGTCTGCTCAAGGAAAAGGTTTTGCTCCTGCTCCCAGACTTTTCCCCCAGTCCCTCCTGTGCCACAGTTGGCACGTGGCTTCATGACCTAAGGCTGGAGATGATCTAAAATGCTCCTGCTAGCCCAAAGCAATGCCAAAATTCTTCAGCTCTTGGCCTATCATCTACAGCTCTAGCCTTGCTTTTTGGTATCTACCTACCCAGGACAGTGTTGTTTTAAGCCATCTGCTTCTAGATTGTTTTTCCTTAATAATGTAAAAGTTTCTTGACCTTTTTAAGATGCTGTGGTTTTCACAGCACAATTAAAGACTCCCTTCCCCCAGCTCCTGAGCTCAGAAGTGTCCAACCTGCACCAACAGTCACCGAGGTGAACGCATCCAAAGCTCAACAAATAAACTGGAGGAGGAAAAATGTCATTATCCAATGAGGAGTCTGCACGAAGAGGCAGGACCCAGGCATGGTCACAACAGTTCAGTGGCAGCCAGCTGGGCTGCTCAGAGGAGCCTTCTGGATGAAAAGATCATTTTGAAATGTGACTCAGAAAAAAAAAAAAAAAAGCCCCCTTAGTTCTGATGTGTTTCTGTGTCCTATAAACAGGAGTTCTTGCTTCAGAAGGAAGCAGGACAGTAGGTTACAGGGGCTGTACAGATTAGCACCAGGTTTATTTCAACAAGATTCTTCTATTATTATTTTTTTTACACCATACAGAAGCTGACCACAGACTCTTTAGCCTTAAACACAGTGCTGTGATTATGGGTCATCCCTCCTGCCTCAGGCAGGCAGGAACAAGTGCTGGAGTGGGGCAGAAATGCTGCCCTTTCCCCCTGCTCTCACCTCACTCAGTTATGAAATTGTCACCTAAGTGGCCCCCCATAAAATATTCACAAAATACTCCAAGACAAAGTTCCCTTTTCCATCTGATGCTTAAGAAAATAATTCACATTTCAAATGATTTTTGTTTTTTTTTGTTGTTTCGAAAGCAGCAAACAAATTAATAGAAACCTAAATTTAGGAAGTGTTTCTTAAAGATCCAGAGGAAAGAGAGAAACAGTCTATGTGCTTGTGCAAAGAGAGTGCTGAGAAACGTTGGGGTTGGGGACAGGGAAGGGGACACAACATCCCAGGGCTAGTGCTAATTCCTTCAGGCTTTTCTGCCATGAGTGCAGGGTGGCAATGGAAAGTTAAATTGTAAAGGCCAGAAAAGGGGGGGGAAGTTTTGAATTCTTTGGTCCTTCAGTAGAAGTTTTAAAACAGAGAAATTATTTTACTCAAAAGGAAAAAAAAAAACAAAAACAAACAACAAACCAAACATGCTTTCTCTGGCCTGGAATTTTCCTTGTACCCCCCACCCCACCCCAGAAACTGGGGGCAAATCTCTCCTCCCCCTTGCCAGGCAGCCCTGCAGCACAACCCCACTGAAGTCCCACTGAGGCAGCCAGAGCTGGCACCAGGGGACAATTCCAGCTGAGCAGAAGGGACAAAGTGAAGAGCCCCTGTGGGAATGGGATGCAGTCATGCAGCTGGGTGTGCTGGGCAGGTCTGGAAAGAAAGAGGGCTGGCCACAGGCAGCATCACCCTTAACAGCCCCACAGGGAGGCTGGGGAGCAGATAAACCACCCTGGTAATAAAAAGTGTTACAAACCAATAGCCAAAACAGGCTGATCAGCTCTGGTTCTTATAAATATTAAAGACCTGATTCAAGAGTTTATTTCCTATGATTTAAGTTAGTTACAAAAGCTTTTTAGTAAATTTTTTCTCTTAATTGGGCTTTTTCCTCCTCCCCCCAATTTCTTTTTCTTTTCTTTTTTTTTTTCCTTTTTATTTTTCCTAAAAAAAGAAACGTTCATGTATTTTAATAAAAGGTCTTTCCTTAAGATCAGACCAAGGCAGATGTGCTGCCCCATGGCACAGACATTCAAAGGCTATAACCAAACAACATAGCCACAATAGTCACTCAACAGTGTCTCTCCATAAAAAAAAAAATTAAAAAACTGATGCTAGTTACAATAAAATACACATGAAAAAAAAAAAAAAAGCATTTTTACCAAAAAACCCAAAACAAAGTTAATGGGAGAAACATAAAAAAGAACTACACAGAGCTGCACTTAAGAGATCATCTGGGAATGCATATTAATCCCTTCCATGTAAAGGAAGGGTGGAATTATGGAAGCAAACCTAATTATGTCTCTGCATTAAATATGAAGCTTTCTGAGAGGCTCT